GTGGATAATTTTATTCGAACACAGCCCCATAGATACTGTTTGGAAATACATGATTTCATATAGTTGCAGTTGTGAATTGTAGTACAGAGGCCATGTGACCAAGCAAAAACTAAACTATCCACCATATGACTCTTGAGGAAATTTTACCAACTCACATTCTTCTAAAACAACAGTAAAGACAAAGGAAGATGAAGGGAAAATGGAAGGCAGAAGCTAAGCTAAAGCTGAAAATTTTGGGGTCTTTATAAACAAAAGAAAGTTTTTGGAAGAACTCAATAAAAAGCAACATGAAGAAATTTTAAATTTAATTATTAGACCAGTTTCAGGCAAAAATGGTATCAGAACCTGAGTAGTGGAAATAGGAATGAAAGAGGAGAATCGAAAGTGGTTTTGTTTTGTTTTGTTTTGTTTTGTTTTGTTTTGTTTTGTTTTGTTTTGTTTTGTGACAGAGTCTCCCTAAGTAGTCCTGGTTGTCAGGGAGCTGACTATGTAGACCAGGCTGTCTTATAACTCTCAGAGATCAGCCGGGCGGTGGTGGTGCACATCTTTAATCCCAGCACTTGGGAGGCAGAGGCAGGTGGATTTCTGAGTTCGAGGCCAGCCTGGTCTACAGAGTGAGTTCCAGGACAGCCTGGGCTATAAGAGAAACCCTATCTCGAAAAAAAGAAAAAAAAGAAAAGAAAAACTCACAGAGATCCTCTTGCCTTTGCATCCTGAGTGCTTGGATTAGGGCACGTGTGGTTTTGTTGTTGTTAGTTGTCCTCTGACCTGTATATATGCACTGTGACAAACGTGTAATATGTGTACACATACAAGATAAGTAAGTATAAATTAAATATTCAAGGTAGAAGCATATATATTAGTACTATAAGGAAGTTCACTGTCCAGTATATATATTTAAAGCCTTATTGTACTTCCTGCAGTTATCAGTACTTATTGCTTAGAATAGGAGGGCTTAGGTTCTTAATTTGTAATTATACCCTCAGGTAAAAAGGGAAATTTTCTTGCATAAAGTAACATGGTAGACCACTAGGTGTCACTAGTTAAGCAGTGTGTTCAGACCTTTAAGACAATTACCTATAATACAGGTTTGTTTTATTTATTTATTTATTTATTTATTTTGGTTTTTCGAGACAGGGTTTCTCTGTGTAGCTCTGGCTGTCCTGGAACTCACTCTGTAGACCAGGCTGGCCTTGAACTCAGAAATCTGCCTGTCTCTGCCTCCCAAGTGCTGGGATTAAAGGCGTGCGCCACCACCGGCCGGCATAATACAGGTTTAGATGCTGGTGATTTTATTTTCATGTGTAGGGTTTGTGTGTATGCTTGCATGTGTGCATGTATATGTAAATGTACATATGCCATGGCACATGTGCAGGTCAGGGCACACATTGGGGGAATCAGTTCCTTCCTCCCATGTAGGTCCAGGAATCAGTCCAGTTGTCAAATGTGACACAGGAAGTATCTTTACCCACTAAACTATCTACAGGCTTATGGTGTTTGTATGTATGTATGTATGCATTTATTTGTGTATTTATCCATTCATTCATTTGGTTTTTTTGAGACTTTCTTTGTGTAGTCCTAGCTGTTCTGGGATTCACATTGTAGACCAGGCTGACCTTGAACTTGAGATCCACTTCTTTCTGTCTCCCAAGTGCTTGGGATTATAGGCATCTGGCACCACACCTGGCCAGTCTGGTAGTAATTTTTAAACTCTTTCAGAATATTCTTTTGTTTTTTCTTCAGAATATTCTTACAGTCTTGAAGTGCATTGAGGATTCCAAATAGACTCAATCTATTTAGATTTACTAAGTAGCAATTAAATTAAAATAATGTTTAAAATATTTGTAAGTGATCAGTTCTTACTTAATACAATTGGCTCTATTTTTATATTTGCTGTGCATTCCATTAGTTACTATGTATTAGTTTAGTTTAAAAATGTGAAGAAAACATGTTGGGAAGACAATTTTAACTGTCTTTTCAGATAATTACCAATTATACATAAACCTGACAATTACAGTTTTAGCTATTTATGTATATGAGTAGTGTGTGTGTGTGTGTGTGTGTGTGTGTGTGTGTGTGTGTAGGTAGTTACGCCATTTGTATGCAGGGTACTGTAAAGGTGCATAGGATCTCCTGGAACTGAGTTACATAATGGTTGTAAATGACCCTGTGGATGCTGAGAACCAAACCTGGGTCCTCTGCAAGAGCAGCAAGTGCTCTTAACCACGGCGCCATCTTTCCAGCTCCTTCCCATGAATCTTATCACCCCAAATATATGCTGTGTAATCATTAGGCAGTGGCTTTCTATTTTCCCCTACTCCAGTTGCTGGTAACCTAACCTTTTTTTTTTTTATTTTATTTTCTAATGTTTTTTTAAAGAATTATTTTATGTATATGAGTACACTGTAGCTGTCTTCAGACACACCAGCCAGAAGAGGGCATCAAATCCCATTACAGTTGTGAACCACAGTGTGGTTGCTGGTAATTGAACTTAAGACCTCTGGAAGAGCAGTCAGTGCTTGTAACCACTGAGCCATCTCTCCGTCCCCACTACCCTTTTTTTTTTTTTTTTTTTTTTTGAGACAGGGTTTTTCTGTATATCTTTGGCTGTCCTGGAACTCACTCTGTAGACCAGGCTAGCCTCAAACTTTTTTTTTTTTTTTTAAATTTACTGTGTTGTTTGTTTATTACCATGTGAGTGTGTGTATGATGTATGTTGGTGTGGTTGAACTTGTTCAACCATGATCCCAAAGAGCATAACAAGCCTCTGAGTCATGTTGCTGACCCTCTAGCCCTTTTTTTTTTCCCTGAATTTTCTTACACATATGGAGTCATATATTATGTTCTTATGTTTGGGGTTTTTGACTTAGCATGTTTTCAAGGTTCACCTGTGTTAACAGCACATGCGAGATACTATGTACATGGAGGTTAAAGGACAAGTTAGTTAAGGAAGTCGGTTCTCTCCTTCCACAGTGTGTATTTTGGGTATTGAACTCGGGTTATCAGGCTTGCAGCTGCTGCTTTTACTGATTTTGCTTTCTCGCTGGACATCATTGTGCTTGTGACTTCCATTTACCTATTAACTACGGATGCTTACTAGCGATATTTGTATATCTTCTTTGCAGGAATGTCTCTTCAAATCCTTACTTGCTTCTGGGGTCAGTTTCTAGACAGGATTTCTCTGTATAGTCCTGGCTCTCCTGTTCATCTGTGGACCAGGCTGGGCTTGTACTCAGAGATCCTACCTCTGCCTCCCAAGTGCTGGAATTAAAGGTGTGTGCCACCACCACCAGAGTGAATTGCTAGCTTATTATTGGAATGGTTCCTTGTCCTTTTGTGGTTAAATTTAGAATTTCTTAATTTTTGCCTCTGAGTTGAACTTGTTTTTTGAGACAGGGTCTCTGTAGCCCAAGCTAGCTTCCAATTCTATACAGCTCAAGATGGCTTTGAATTCCTGATGCCCCTGCCTCTTCCTTATCAATACTGAGATTATTGTGTGCCTCACTTCAACTGGCTCTATTCTAGGCTTTAAACTTTTATTATATGCATGATTTGAAAATATTAATTCCCATACTATATGGTGTCTTTTTAAATGTTTTACATTCTGATGGAGCCCAACTTACTAATTCTATTTCTTGTGCCTTTGTTGTGGTTAAAATCAAATCCAAGGACATTAGCATTTAAATTTTTCTTCTTAAAAAGTATTTTATATGTAGGTCCTGTTTTATTTTAGAATATTTAAAAAATAACATTTAGGGTTGGGGTGTGGCTTAGTAGTAGAAAGTTTGTCTGACATGCACGGGACCCTGATTTCAGTCATAAGTATAGAAAAATAATTCAGTAATGCCACTAATGATATCATCAGTGAGTCTTTAAATACTGTGAAGCTGTTCAGCTTACAATAGTGGATACAAGTTTTCTAGAATTGAACTACATCTTATTGATAAGTACTGTAAGGCTTTAGGTTGTTATTTTGCTTTTGAGACAGGATCTTACTATGTACCAGTGGCTCTCACTACGCACTTACTATGTGCTATGTAGTCCAGATCTACCTGCCTCTACCCTCAAAGGGCTATAATGGGAGCCACCATGCCCAGCCTGGTTTTCATTTTGGACTCAGGGTTTTCATGACTTAGAACTAACAGACACTTTTTAAATTGTTAATTATGTGGTGTGTGTCTGTCTGTCTTGTCCATGTTTGTCTGTGTGTCAGAATGTGCATTTGTGCATTTGAGTGCAGTGCTTGCAGAAGTCAAATGGGTACATTGAATCCCTTGGAACTGGAGTTACAGGCAGCTGTGATCTGCACACTATGGGTCCTGTGAATAAAATTGCATCCTCCCCAGGAACAGTGTATGTTCTTAATCAGTGAGCCATCTCTCCAGTTCCCAATTTTGGTCTTATTTTAAGACTTATTTTCATTTTCTAGGTATGACTGTTTTGCTTGTATTTATGTATATGTACCCCATTTGTGCCTCCTGCCCACAGAGGCCAGAAAAGGACATCAGTTTTTTCTTAGAATTCCAGTTTCAACCAAGTTTTCTGAAAGAGTGTCCAGTGCCTTTAACTGGTGAGCTATCTCTCCAGTCCTGGCCTTTATTGAACTCTTAACCCTCATACCTCTAAGAGGCTTCCTGAGTGCTAGGATTACAGTCATATGCCACCAATCCTATTTAATCCTGCAGTCTTGGATAGAATTTAATATGCATAGGCTATGTTTGCATTTAAAAATTAATACATGTCACTAGAATTCTGTAATAATTGAAGTGTAGAAATAAAGAGAGTTGGATGTGGTGATGCGCTCTTAATCCCAGCACTTAGGAGGCAGAGGCATGGGGATCTCTGAGTTCAGGGCTAGCCTGGTTCTACAAAGTGAATCCAGGGCAGCCAGGGCTTATTACAAAGAGAAACCTTGTTTGAAAAACAAACAAAAAGAAATAAGGAGGAAATATCTTTTTTTGTGCATGTCTTGTAGTGTTTTGTTTGGTTTGGTTTCTTGAAATAAGAGTCTTACTATGTAGCCTTAGCTGGTGTGCAATTTATGTAGACCAAGTTGGTCTTAAACTCACAGAGCTCCTTCTGCCTCTGCCTCTGACTACCATCACTATGCCAACTCTTGGCTTCTTTACTAGTTGTAGAGACATCATTGAGACTCCAGCCAGGTGTCTTAAAGTGTGGGATGTCAAAAGAGAAACTAGCTCTCACCTGCCGTGTGTCAAATGCTACTGTGGTGCCAGGCCTTGAAGTTAAGTGGGAAGATTTTTTTTTTTTTTGGTTTTTCGAGACAGGGTTTCTCTGTATAGCCCGGGCTGTTCTGGAATTCACTCTGTAGACCAGGCTGGCCTCGAACTCAGAAATTCGCCTGCCTCTGCCTCCCAAGTGCTGGGATTAAACGTGTGCGCTACCACCGCCCGGGAAGATTTTTCTATGTGCAAGTTTTAACACCATTCTTAACTCCACCACTAGCAAGGCTCTGTTTTAGAAAGCTACCAGTCTAGGTTTTGTTCTGTATTACAAGTGCCACAGTGCTGTCCTGATGACTCGTACCCATAATATCAGCACTTGGGAGGTTAATGTTTTTGAACACTGCTAAGTGCAAAACCCTGCATCAGCAGAACAAAGCAAGCTCTACCATGAATGTGAGTGTTATGTATACCAGGCTAGCCTTAAGCACAGTATGTTGATGTTGGTGACCTTGAACTCTCAGTCATCCTGCCTCACCTACTAACTACAGGGATTGCAGGTGTGAGTCACCACAGTTTGACTCATCTAGAATGTTTTTGTCTGTGTCTGTGCTTGGGTGTGCTTTTCATGTGTGTGTGTTGATGCACATGCATGTGTATAGGCCAGAGGTTGCTGTCTAGTGCCTTCTTTCATTCCTCATCACCTTTTTCTTTCCTGAGACAGAGCCTTCCATTTGAACCTGGAGCCTAATGATTGGGCAAGAATGGCTGGCCAGCAAGTTTCCGAGGATCCTCCTGTCTCTACCTTCCCAGTGCTAAGACTAAAAGTGTGCCCTGCCAGGCATGGTGGAACATGCTTTTAATCCCAGCCCTTGGGAGGCGGAGTCGGAGGCAGGAGGATCTTTGTGAGTTCAAGGCCATCTTTGTGAGTTCAAGGAATCGAGTTCCAGGACACCCAGGGCTGTTACATAGAGAAATCATGTTTGAAAAATAAACAAAAATATGTGGGTAACTGGAGATCTGAATTCAGATCTTCATGTTTCACAGCCAACACTTTACTGACTGAGTCATCTCCCCCACCCTATCTGAGTTGTCTGTAAACAAAGAATCAAAAAGAATTAAATTGGAAGAAATTATGTCTTCAGTCTTGTTTGTAGGCTACTGATCTGAAACACAGTATTAAAGTTGTCTGAGAGGAAGAATTGAGTGTCCTGTCTCTTATTCATCCTAGGCTTTGAGACTCAAACTCCCTCCGTCTCCCGGTTTCTGAACACAAGAGCAATGAAGGAAACGTTCAAGAGTTACATGGAGTTGCTTGTTAGCATTGCTCTGGATCCTGACACCATGCAAGCCCTAGAAAAGAGCAATGGTATGGCCTACTAAGAAGCTCACTCAAAAGTTTTTGTTTAGTGCAGGGCAGTGGTGGCGCACACACCTTTATTCCCAGCACTTGGGAGGCAGAGGCAGGCGAATTTCTGAGTTCGAGGCCAGCCTGGTCTACAGAGTGAGTTCCAGGACAGCCAGGGCTATACAGAGAAACCCTGTCTCGAAAAACCAAAAAAAAAAAAAAAAAAGTTTTTGTTTAAATAAATTTTCTCACTGTTGTCTCTTGTTTTATTTTGTTGTTTATTCTTGGGGGTTGGTTGGTTTGTAAGCAATGCCTCATAGGCATTTATATAGGCAAGGCTGGCCTGGAACTCCCAGATACCCAGGCCTCTGCCTTGCAAGTGCTGGGACTAAAGGTGTGCACTACCACTCTTGGCCATCTTTATTTCTATAATTAAAATTATTACAGAACTCTATGACATGTACTAATTTTTTAATGCAAATATAGCCTTTGCATATATAAAATTTCAATGGCAAGACTGCAGAACATGACTATAATCTCAGCATTTGAGTCGCAGAGGCATGGGGATCTCTGTGTATGCTGCCATACTTGACATTTTTTTCCCCTAATGCTTGCTGTTACTTGTTTATATAATTGTGGTATGTGTAATGGTAAATTAACAGTTTCATAACCCCAGCTATTTAATATGTTACCAAAAATGGTTAATTTGTTTCTGTCATATTGTTACTCTCCCCTTTTCTAACATAACCATTCTGACTCATTTTTGACAATGGGTTATAATTCCTTTTCTTGCCCTACTTTGTCTTTGCCCCAAATTCCGGTGAACTAAGAATATCTTACCTTGGCCGGGCGGTGGTGGTGCACGCCTTTAATCCCAGCACTTGGGAGGCAGAGGCAGGCAGATTTCTGAGTTCAAGAGTTTGAGGCTAGGCTGGTCTACAGTGAGTTCCAAGACAGCCAGGACTACACAGAGAAACCCTGTCTCGGGGGGAAAAAAAAGAATATCTCACCTTGGTGTGGTGGTACACACCTTTAATCACAGCATTCAGGAGTCAGACACAGGTGTATCTGAGTTCTAGGCTAGCTAGAATTACATAGTGACACCCATTGTCAAACAAACAAACTCTTTAATTCTTGTTTATACTCAGTAACTTAGAATGTTAAACCAGTTTGTATTTGTAGCAATATGTTTGGTAGATAATAAATGAGATTTAGAGAAGTTACTCTTCTTTCTGGTGATCATTGTTTTGTTTTAATTGAGATAAGGTGCTAGGCACGGTGGTGCACACGTTTAATCCCAGCATTTGAGAGGCAGAGGCAGGCGGATCAAAGCTAACTTGGTCTATATACCATGTTCTGTACCAGTCAGAGCTGACTATGTAATGACTTGTCCCTCCACAATAGAGAGAAAAGGCAGGACTGGGGCAGCAGATGCCATTGCTGTGCAGAGTTGCTGCTGCTTTCTTGCTTTTTTGATAAACTGACTTTGCAGGCTGACCTTTGTTCTGAAAGCTAAACCTTGTCTGTTTAGAGACAAGGTTTCTCTGTGTAGCCTTGGCTATTCTTAAACTCAAAGATCTGCCTGCCTCTACCTCCAGCATGCTGGGATTAAAGGCGTGCGCCACTACCTCTAGCTTAATTAAATGCCTATTTCTTAAAAGCTGTATTATACATAAGCCATCAAATTTAATGTCGTCTAATGTACAGATGGTTTGACGTTCCCCTTCAAAAGGAGCGTGTTATAAATGTTTCTGTTGGATGGGCGGTGGTGGTGCACGCCTTTAATCCCAGCACTTGGGAGGCAGAGGCAGGCGGATTTCTGAGTTCGAGGCCAGCCTGCTCTACAGAGTGAGTTCCAGGACAGCCAAGGCTACACAGAAAAACCCTGTCTCAGGGGGAAAAAAAATGTTTCTGTTGATTGCTTATCTTGTTAAAATAAATTATTATTTCAGATGAGCTACTTTTACCACATATGAAAAAAATAGATGGGATGCTGAATGATAACCGGAAAAGACTTCTTGTGAATCTGCATTTGGACCAGCCGTTCAAGGTATTTCCTGTTAGTGATGTCATTAGCAAGCCTCAGAACAGTCAGTCTCAAACAAATAGAAAGAAAAGCTAGCTAAAGTCATTCTCACTTCAGTAATTTGTAAAAATATAACAAGATTTGTTTATGCATTATAAGTCTGTTCAGCATATTTTTTAGCTTTTTGTTTGGGTGTTTTATGTTTAAATTTATTTTTCAGTCATTTATAGGTAATATTCCTTCTATGATTTTTTGTTTGTTTTGTTTTGTTTTGTTTTGTTTTGTTTTGTTTGAGACAGGATTTCTCTGTGTAGCCCTGGCTGTCCTGGAACTCACTCTGTAGACCAGGCTGGCCTCAAACTCAGAAATCCGCCTGCCTCTGCCTCTGCCTCTGCCTCCCAAGTGCTGGGATTAAAGGCATGTGCCACCACCGCCCGGCTCCTTCTATGATTTTTACCATGTTTTCCAAAAGTAGTTTTCTTAAACTGTCGTATTCAAGTCTGTGTCCCTTATATGTTTTTATTATTTTTCAAAGACAAATTTTTATTTTCTGTGTATAGATTAGTGTTTTGTTTGCATGTACTACATGCAAAATGTGCGTACAGTCCCGTTATAATTTCTAAAAATGTACACATTTTAGAATGGAGAGATGACTTAGCAGTGGGCCAGGTTGGGTTCCCAGCACCTACACAGTGGCTCACACCTATCCGTAACTCCAGACTCCATTGCCCTCTTCTGCCACACACATGATCCAAATAACACTCAGGCATCACCCTCATATACATTAAATCTTAAAAATAATGTAAAGAAATTTTATACTTCCACATTGTATCTTGAATTAAAGATTAGCTCAGTGTGTAGGAACATACTTTAACACTTGGAAGGTGGAGGCAAGATGAGGAATTCTGTTTTTTACTATTAATGTACTTTTAGCAACATAAGTTGGTATTTTTGTTGCTCGCAATATAGAACTGAAAGATAATTTGAATTCAGAAAATTTATCATAAAAGTTATTCAGTCCAGAAAACCTCCCAGGATTCCTTTTTAATGCATATTGTCCTGACTATCTGTTATGTCTACTTCACCGGAGTTTGTTATTGTCTCCATTGATGGTAATTACATACATAAGTGAGAAAAGTTAATTCTTTTCTTTTTTTTGAGATTTCTTTATTTTATGTATATGAGTACACTGAACATGTGGTTGCTGGGAATTGAACTCCAGACCTCTAGAAGAATAGTCAGTGCTCTTAACCACTGAGCCACCTCTCCAGCTCTGTTAAATATTCTTGAAATGCTTCAAATAGACTAAGAAAAATGTTTACTTTAGAAATAATTAGCACTATGAGAACATGGTGGATCATACCTGTAAGTTCAGCATTCTTGAGGTTGTGGCAAGAGGATGACCATAAGTTCCAGACCAAGTTGGCCTATATAATAAGCTTCTATCTTTAAAAACAAAAAAGAAAAACTAAACGAGAAATATGTTACATGGAGTTAGGGGCTGATAGTTCAGTGAGCAGTAGAATGCTTGCCTAAAACACATTAGCCAGGTTCAATGCTCTGTACAATCCCCAAATAAAGGAAGGAAAAAATACTGGCACCATTTGCTATCATAAACTTGGTGCCTTTTTAATTAGATTATTTAACTTTTATGTGTGTCTTATCTACATGCGTATAAGTGCACCACAGTCATGCAGTGCCCTTAGAGGTCAGAAAACAGCATCCAGCCCCTACTAGTACTGCAAATTACAAACAGTTGTAAGCCTTCATGTAGATGCTAGGAACCAGCCCTGCTCCTCTGCAAGAGCAGAGTGTTTAACCACTGACATATCTCCCTAGTCCCAAGACTGTAATTTTATAATATGTCCTAACACTTGTAACGTTGGTGGTGCTCTGTCTTTACCCTGAGGGATCTTTAGCATTGTATCCTCAATGTAATTTGGAAAATATAGTTTACAATCTATTTTTAGTCTTTAAGTTCCGTTTGTTGTAATTGGCAATTCTAGATCCAGAATTGTTTAAGCAAGATATTTTTTAAGTGCAGAGTCCCTTTGTATGTGGTAAAAGCACAAGTAATGTGCGGTAGAACTTGATGGTAGCTCTTCTGTAGATATGCAAAAGTTTTACTATGTCAGATTTCATTTCCCTGTTATACTTAGAACTAAGAAAATTTTTAGTTTTTAAAATGTACTGTTTTCAGGTTCACAATACCAGTTTGTAAAATGTGTCAGTCTGGAATAGAACTATGAAAATTAAATTACATTCTGAATCATAAATGTAACAGCACTTTCAACTCTTTACTGTCATAATAATTCATGCTGTTGCTAGCTAAATCGAATGTTAGCAGACTGTGGTTTGCAGGGGTTATTCTGTTACTTTGTGCAGCCTCTCAGGTCACAGTGCCTTACCCAGCAGGTAGGGGCACCAATGTCAGTGGGTTTTGAAGACTAGACTAGGACTGGCTCTGCTCTGTGGCCACTGCATCGTCACATGTAGATAAGACACACATAAAAGTTAAATAATCTAATTAAAAAGGCACCAAGTTTATGATAGCAAATGGTGCCAGTATTTTTTCCTTCCTCTATTTGGGGATTGTACAGAGCATGTGGCTACCTGCCTGTGGAGAGCACACTATCAAACTCTGGTTCAAGATCTTATCTCACAAGTTCTTTCTATTTGGACAAGGAAGCAAGAGAAGTAAGACAGGAAACAGCCATTATTTTTACTGTCTGTCTTCTTTCCACGTCTTCGTTTAGAGTCTGATGACTCACTGTAGCTGGTTTACCGCTGGTTCAAGGTATTAGTCACGGTTTAAGTGATAAGAGCTTTGAAGAATGCATATGTTCCTACTTTCCAATCAGAGAGGGATTACTAATAGTAACTTAGGAGTTCCTTCAGCATGGTGTACTGTTGCTTAAAAAATTAGGACATATTATTAGCCTGGATTCAAGGAATGGAAAGACAATCCAAACCATGGGGAGAAAGTACAAAGAACTTATAACTAAATCCAAGCTGTAGCCTCCCACATGGTTATATGTGTGTGCTTGTGTGTGTATACGTTTTGAATGGCTGAGTTCAGATTAGTTTTCTTCTGATGTCAGTTATATCATCCTTCATTATTTTAAAGAATGCTTTGGAAAGTTTTCCTGAACTGACAATTATTACTCGAGACTCAAAAGCAAAGAGTGGAGGATCTACTATTTCGAAAATCAAAATGAATGGCAAAGCTTATAATAAGAAAACTCTAAGGACTTCTAAAACAACCACTAAGTCTGCACAGGTAAGAATGTAGTGCTTAATAAATGGTTATACATTGTCCAATTAACACAGCTCTGATGAAACCATTATAGAGTAATAAGGGAAACTAACCCATGTGTAAGTTTATGTGTTTGTATATAGTTTTAAACTAATGTTTAATTCATTAAAATATTTGTATATTTTGAAATATGTATGCATTATAGAGAAGTAAACATGAAAATTAATGTTTTGCCTATCCAAAGTTATGTGTGCAGAGTTTGGAATCACATGTATTAGTGTGTATATATAGTATAAGCTTGAATATTAATATACCTCTAAGTCACTAAAATGACATGTGCTCATCTCCACAGTATACATTATTGCAGTCTTTTCAGTGTAACAATTTCATATAAGAATTGTATTCTGAGCTCAGTAGGAATGGCACATGCCTTTAATATCAGCACTCAGGAGGCAGAAGCAGGTGGGTCTCTTGAGTTTGAGGCCAGCCTGGTCTACAGATAGACTTCCAGGACAGCCAAGGCTACACAGAGAAACCATGTCTCGAAAAACAACTTATTTTGTAAGCCAGGTATGGTGGTGGTGCACGCCTGAATCCTAGCACTTGTCCGGTGAAAGCAGAAAGATCAGGAGTTTCAGGACAGCTTCAAGCTACATAGCAATATCAAGGGGAGCCTGTGCTATATGTCTCCGACAAAAACTAGAAATAAATAGGTAGCTACTACAAAATTGTATTTAAGAAAAATCCAGAGTGCCAGTGAACATGGTGTCACGCATTTTTAATCCCAGAGAGAAGCAGTGGGAGCTCTGTTAGATCCTATCTCAGAAAACTATGGTTCGCGCTCTCTCTCTCTCTCTCTCTCTCTCTCTCTCTCTCTCGCTCGCTCGCTCTCGCTCGCTCTCTCTCCCTCCCTCCCTCCCTTTCTCCCTCCTTCCCTCTCCCCCTCCCCCTTTCCCTCTCCCTCTCTGTCCTCCCTCTTCTCCTTTTCTTCTCTTTTTGAGACAAGGTCTCACTATACTGACTTGACTTGCTTTATAAACCAGGTTGGCTTTAAACTCAGACTCATCTTCTTCTGGAGTGCCAAGATTAAAACCATATGCTAGCTGGGTGGTGGTGGCACACACCATTAATCCCAGTACTTGAGAAGCAGAGGCAGGTAGATCTCTGCGATTGAGGCCAGCCTAGTCTACAGAGTAAGTTCCACAACCTCCACACAGAGACACTGTCTTGAAAAACCAAAGATAAATGAAGTTAAATCATATGCCATCATGCTTGATTTAAAATTGTTTACTTTATTCAAAGAAAAGACAGACCCCCATTAATTGTCTCTTGGACAACTACAACAAAACACTTTGTGACTTTATAGTGTGCCAAGTTCAGTTCTAAGTACTAGAGTACTAGAGAGATGGCTCTTTCATACCTGTATACATAGTCAGAGCACTAGAATAAATCAAAGCACTAGAGGTACCGTAGTAACACTTAGTAAAAACTCCATGTTTTCATATAATTTCTATTTAATGGATAAACATGCAATGATATACAGAAATAAACAGAAAGTTATCCAAGTTGTAGGTAGGTAAAAAATGTGTTAGAACCTGTGTGAGGTGCATGTTGTGGGTCTATATGTATTGGGTGATTTTTTTTTTTTTTTTTGGTCTTGTCAGAAAAGCAATGTTGGGAGTTAAATGGCAGGAGGATCAGGGGTTCAAAGCTAGCCTCAACCTCATGGAACCTGTTTTAAGAAAGAAATAGAAGTCCTGTAATCCCGGCACTGGGAAGGCAGGCAGATCAGAGTCCTACACACACCCCCTCCCCGAGCTGCAGAGGGATACCCTGACTCAGCAACAGGAGGATACAGCAGACAATGCTTCCACTCTTTTGCTATCTAAAATGTTTCTATGTAGATTTTTTTAAATAATGCTAGTTTGTTTTTCAAGTGGCATGTACTCATAACATGATAAAATTTGATTAAAATATAATTTAAGTTTAAGCTCCTATGTATATGAATCTAGCCTCATACCTCACCATATATGACATTTTTCAGGTTCTTGTATAATTACTTCTGATGTTACATGAAAAGTACCTGTGACTGTCTTTCTGTTTTAGGAGTTTGCTGTTGATCCAGAGAAAATACAGTTATATTCATTGTATCATTCACTCCATCACTATAAATACCATGTTTATCTGATATGTAAGAATGAGGTAATTTCTTTTTATTTATTTAAAATGAAATGACATGTTTTTCTAAAAAAAGTGTTTGTTTGGGGGGAGGAGGGTTGATGTTGTTTGTTTTTCCAAGACAGGGTTTTCCTGTTTAGCCCTAGTTGTACGAGAACTTACTCTGTAGACCAGGCTAGCCTTAAACTCACAGAGGTCTGCCTGGCTCTGTTTCCCAAGTGCTGGGATTAAAGGTGTGCACCACCACTGCTTGGCTCACTAACACCTATCTATTCTACCCAGTACTTTAAAGTGTGTGTGTGTACACGTGCATTTAAAATTTATTTTTATTCTATGTGATGAAGTGTTTTACCTGTATGTATGTCTGTGCACCATGTTTGTAATGTGTTCTCAGAGGTCAGAAGAGGGCATTGAGCTTCTGGAACTCGAATGCAGACAGTTGTGAGCTTCCACGTGGACTGTGGAGAACAAACCCAGGTCTTCAAGGGCAGTGACTGCTGTAACTGCTGAGCCTTCTAAAGCCTCATAGTACTAGTTTTATGAGTATCAGTTTAAATTAGCAGAGCTAAACCTGATGTGTTAGGCAACAGCCTCAAATAGACAGATGTTCTTAAGTCTAAAGGAGAAAGCAAAGATGGTAGATGCAAATTATGTTGATTATTTTGACAGTGTTATGAGTTAGCTTTCACATCAGTATTTGACATTTGGAGAATGCTGAAGACATAGCTCACTCAGTGGTTTAGTGCACTGGCTACTCTTAAAAGAGGACCTGGGCTTTATAGCACCCATATGGAGGTTCACAACCATCTGTAACTCGAGTTCCAAGGAAGCTGATACCCTCTTATGGCTTATGTAGGCATTAGGTACATGGGTGGGTACATATATATGCATTCAGGCAAAACACCCTACAAATATTTGTTATTGACTTTTAAGACAATTGGAAGGAAATTCTAAAGCATGAAGCAGCTGGGTAGTTGGTGGCACATGCCTTTAATCCCAGCACTTGGGAGGCAGAGGCAGGAGGATCTCTGAGTTTGAGGCTAGCCTGGTCTACAGAGCTAGTTCCAGAACAGCCTTGACTCCACAGAGAAACCTTGTTTTGAAAAATAAAACAAAATAAGGCATGAAGCACTGTACTAAGACTTCTACTCTGCCCTGTGGAGCCCAGAGACTAGGAGTAGATCTCATCCAAACTTACCTGGGGGGAAAATCCTTTGCTATGGCTGGGATAAGTGAGTGAGACCGATTGGTTGAAAGGCAGGGTCACTCCTCTAATCCCTGCACTCAGGAGGATCACTGTGAATTCAGACCTGCTCTATATAGTGAGCTCTGGGTTAGCCAAGACTACATAGTAAGGACCTGTCTCATTTCAAAACAAAAACAAAACCAGTACTACCTGCAGGTGTGTTTGTAAGGCTTTAGAAAGGATTTAAGTTTAAAGTGGTATGTGTAAACTAATGCAACAATTTATTTCTTATTTTAGATATCATCTGTGCAGAAAAAAAATGAAGATTTAGGACAGGAAGAAATTGTTCAACTTTGTATGAAAAATGTAAAGTGGGTGGAGGACCTATTTGAAAAATTTGGAGAACTTCTAAATCATGTACAACAGAAATGCTCCTAACATTTCTACAGAATCCCACCTTTTTATAGCACTAATGAAGTGTGGAAGGCTAGTGTCACAAATAATCCAGTCCTCTGACACAGGCCTCTTGTAGCATCCCCTGCCATGGGAACTGTGACCAGACCTTTGCTGAAGACAGTGGTGCTACCGAGGAAGCCAGTCCTTTTTTTCCTAATGAATGGTTTCTCTATTGTGTAAACTGTGGGGTGACTGAAACATTTAGAAACATCTTTTGTCAAATGATAAAGCATGCACTAAGTATAGTTTTATTGCTAGAGAAATAAAATTGACGTGATCTGACTTTTCCCCCATGACGTGTCAGAACTAAAGAGACAGCAGAAAGCATTCGTGTCTGGCCACAGTGCAGAAAGTATTCTGCTGTGGAAAGAGATCTAGTGTGTGGCATCCTGTATAACAGTGTCTTCAGTTAAAACATGAGACTCAAGCTGCGCTCTGCTCTGTGGCCTCTTTTAACATGTCTGGGAAAAGGTGTGGAACTGTGCAATTCTATGACTGCTTTTTGTGTCTAGTTACATTGTGATGAAAAAAAAAGTGACGTACTATTTTCCCTGTTTCAAAGAAAAGTATTTTTGTTTATAGTGCGTTTTTCCTTTGGAAATTTTTCAATTGTACATTTTATTTTACTAATAGTTGTATTTTTCACAAGAAAATGTGGTTTTAATTGTTCTCTCTGTACTTCATTGTTTTCAGTAAACCCTGTGCAGGTACACGTCACTTGCATCATAGATTCTGTCTTGAAGTGGACATTTTTGTTCATACCCTTTAGCCATAGTATTACTCAGAATATTCATTCGGTGCTAGAATTAGTTTAGCTTTATAAATGGGACTGTGTGAAACACTGCATTTAATTTCATAAAATAAATTTCTTACCAAACTAGCACTTGATTTATAACTGATTTGTCAACATAAAAATTAACTATTGCCAGGAATAGTAGTGTGTGCCTTTAATCCCAGCACTTGGGAGGCAGAGGCAGTCAGATCTCTTTTGAGTTCAGGCCAACCTGATCTACATAGTGAACTCCAGGACAGCTAGAGCTACATACTGAGACCTTGTCCCCCTGGTAACCCCTACTCCCAAAATTAACTACTGATACAGTTTGATGGCCCAGTGGGTATATAGGCACTTGTAGCCAAGCTTGACAACCTGAGTTCTAAGACCCACACTGTGTAATAAGAGAACCAACTTCTGCAAAAGTCATGTCCCTACATAGACACATATGGATGATCAGGCTGTATGCAGTGTTACACACAGCTTTCCTGGCTCTCAGAACTGGAAGTGGAGTTCTCCTTTGGTGCCTTTAACCCGTAAGCACACTAGTGTAGCTTTCTTAAGTTTGATAGCATTTCAAGTGGTTTAGCTGAAACAGTGAATGTATTAAGTTCACATGACCTTGTGTTGTTTATTTTTGTTGCCAACAGGATGCCTTGTTTGTGAAGATTTAATAGTGTCATTCAAAACGATCGCCTTTTTAGGATTCTGAAGCAGTTGTAAATCATCAAACCTTTGTTTATGTTACCACCATTTAGTGCCTTACTCCCTATCTAGAAAGCAGTGTTACTGTCCAATGCCCAAATAAGACATCCTTACAACCTGGACAAACCTGTTGTCTTGACTTTGAGAACAGACAGTTCTTACACTTAAAACTTCAGGAAACTGACAAGAATTGAAGTTAACATGCCACTTGGTTTAAGAATAAAACACTGTTAACACTGGGTTAAAATGAATATCTGAGTTAGGCTTACATATTTATTTCTGGTGATTGTCTTATTAAAAGCAATATCCTTAGCATTTTTTACCTGCTGTTTGACTCAGTGGTACCAAGTCATGGGAATTTCTCTCCGTGGTCAAATGTTCCATTTTTTAAGGTTTTAAAAAACCTACTTTGAGAACAGAAATGACCTATTAATTAGGCTTATTTTGTGTAACGGCGATGCTGTTGGCAAGAGAATCATTAGATTTCGTTTTATAAGCAGAGGAGAGCAAGAAGCAGCCATATTCCATTCTGATAGTATTGACCCTGGACACAGTATCTTTCCAATCACCATAGAGCTGATACACCCCATATACCTTTACCTTCATCTTGAATTAAAGTATAAGGTACATGTTTGAACTTCTTTTTCATGAATAAATCTCTTAAGGTTAATATTATTAAGAAATGCCCATTTCTTTATTTTTGTTTAAAACAGGGCCTCACAATCTAGCCCAGGCTGGTCTAGAACTCAGTGTTTAGTCCAAGTTGGCTCCAGATTTATGTCAGTCCACCTGTCTTAGCCTCCAGAATGCTGGGATCATAGGTGTAAGCCACCATGCCTGGCTTTCCATTTCCTTGTGAACTGCAGTTGCCCTCTGCCTGTTCACAGCTGTGGTCGTGTGAACCATTTCACATATAGAAGATCAGGTCCTGTGATGCTCCCTCAAAACCCTGCTGTTCAGATGCAGTTCACCTCTCATTTATTCTTATAGCATAGGAAGGATCAGCCTCAGGCCTTAGAGGAAAATAGCCACAAACCAGTCCGTTCTCTATAGGAAGCTAAAGAAATGTTTAGTTGGTTAGTGTTTGCCAGGGAATTTGAAATATATGCTATAGGAAAACATTTAGATTGTAGACAAAGGTGAAGCACATGTTGCCATAAGCTAGGAAAATGTTAAGAAAGATTGGATTCTCCTACCTATAAAGATCCTGGAGGGTTGGGGATGTAGCTCAGTGCTTTACACTTGGCTAGCATGTCTGAGGCCCTGGACTCCCTCCTGAACTCTCATCCCTCAAGCACACGTAGAGGTGTGGAGTAATTTTATGTAAAAATTATTCTGTGTTGATATTTGTCACTACTCCAGAAAACTGGTTGCCAAAGGGGCCTCCTTGCCATTTTGATATAACCTAGTTACTACTTGATCCCTAATAAATCTAAATTTATGGTGACTTATCACAGTAAGTTGAACTAGAAACTGTCCATTTTCCTATGGTTTTGCCAAATTGCAAATATCAGTAAGATAGCAATTAATCATATTTTTAAATGTTTAATAAATTTTCCTATTTTTTGAAAGTTCAAAATTTATTTAAATTTCTAAAACTTGAAAATTTATAGGTGGGGTTACCCATTAGGACTATTTTCAAAGCTTCACATTTTTAAGCTAATTTTTTTTAATTAATTTACTATTTATTTTCCTTGAAGCATATAGATTCCAACCTATGGCTCTTAAGATATACCCATACAGCTGTTTCTGTTTGTGTGTTGGTGTCCATCACTGGTTCAAATGAGTGGTTGAAGAAAGGGTCTACTTCCCGTTTTCCTCAGTCCCCTCTCTGGGTACTGAATCCCCAGTGAGCTCAGCACAGGGGTTACTGATACAGCTGCGTTTCAGGTGTAGGTAACGAAGCTTAAGTATTTGCAGAATGCAATTATTTTGGTTTGTTTTAAATGTTTTAGTTTCATGGAAATGCTTTTCAAATACAGTGAAATAGCCCAGGATATGCATTAACTCGGATACACAGCTGTTGACATCTGTGTTCACAAATGCATGTTTTTGAAAATTACCTCTATAAAAAAACAACTAAGGCTAAGGATACAAAAACGTGCATTTGTAGTCCAGAATTTTCAGTTGGTCCATTATACCATGTATGGAAATGTGAAAGACAATTTTGTATATTTGTTACTAACTCAGATCATTAAAGTGAAAACAGTTTTTTAAACAAAATCAGAATGTGTTTGGATTTTTTACATTTCTGAATTAAAAGCAGCAGGTATTGTATACTAAAAGCTATAAATCAGGGGGCTGCTGAGATGGCTCAGTGGTTAAGAGCACTGACTGCTCCTCTAGAGGTCATGAGTTCAAATCCCAGCAACCACATGGTGGCTCACAACCATCTATAATGGGATCTGATGCCCTCTTGTGGGTGTCTGAAGACAGCTACAGAATACTTACATATAATAAATAAATAAAAGTTTTTTTAAAAAAACTATAAATCATGTCCATATTTCTTGGAGAATACATAAAGTATTACCAGGCTAGATTATATAGTACCAGCACGTGGAAGGCAGCAGCAAGCAATTGGAAGCCAGTTAAGGCTACATAGTGAAACCACATCTCAAACGCTAAACCCACGTATTTCAAGTGAAGTTACTGTCAACATTTAGTCTCTTGTTCAGGCTATTGAAAAAACACTGGTTTGGGGCTGGAGAGATGGCTGAGCAGTTAACACTGGCTGCTTGCTCTTCTAGAGGACCTGGGTTCAATTCCTAACAACCACATGGTGGCTGACAACTGTAACTCCAGTTCCAGGGGATCCAGTGCCTTCACACATACATGCAGGCAAAATAGCAATGCACATAAAAATAAATTATATGAAGAACTATGCTTCTAGACAAAGCTTTATAATCACAGAATAATTCAAATTTAAAAAACAAAACACTGGCCGGGCGGTGGTGGCGCACGCCTTTAATCCCAGCACTTGGGAGGCAGAGGCAGGTGGATTTCTGAGTTCGAGGCCAGCCTGGTCTACAGAGTGAGTTCCAGGACAGCCAGGGGTATACAGAGAAACCCTGTCTCGAGAAAAAAAAAAAAAAAAAAAACACTGGTTTTTCATCCCTTTACACAGAAAAGGCCTTACAAGTGCTAGAAAGATGCGTGTTCTTGCAGGAGCTCTGGTTTTGATTACCAGAGCCCACACAGCAGCTCACACTCATCCATAACTCTAGTTGCAAGAGATCTGACACCCTCTTCTGATCTCCACAAGCTCAAGGCATGCAAGACATACACAAACCCATATGCAGACAAAAACTCATAAAAGAAAAATCAGTTACCTGCCAAAGGACTTCAAGATTCTGTAAATAGCCCTAACACTGTGCTCTACTGGCTGGAAAATGCTGTTCATTCTAGTACTTTTCCACATAATACTTTAGAGACAGTCATTGAGGAGCTAGAGAGCTCCTTGGTTAAGAGCACGTGCTCTCAGGGCCCAGCTGCTCTTCTCAGTCCCCAGCAGGCAGCTCACCAGCATCCGTAATTCCAGTCCAGAGGATACAGCCTCCTTCCTCTGCTGACCTCCACCAGCATCAGGCACACACCTGGAACAAATACACGCATGCAGGCAAAACACACAAAAAGCAAAGTTATTCATATGATTTGTATTGCAAAGCTAAAGGGTACCTCTTACACTGTGTTGTTTTGTTAATGTTTCATTACTGTCTGGTACTAGCATCTTATTAAGATGTATTCACATCTCAAGAGAAGTTCTCTGAACTACTTAACCCTGTCCTTGAGATAATATTTCTGGACCTGTGAGGTTCCTTGCAAGCCTGGTGATCTGAGTTTGATCCCTAGAACCCATATAAAGCTAACTCCACAAAACGTTCTCTGGTCTCCACACGTGCTCCTTGGCAGATTTGCATTCTCTCCCCCATCATACACAAAATTTAATCAAAAACCAATACCACATCTTTTTCTTCCAAATAGAAAGATTTTATTAGGAAAAGAGTATTGGTTTGTTGTTAATGAAAGTGAAAGAAAAGGTGTGGGAAAGAGTAGGCAATCTATAGTTGATAAAGGCCTGAAATGTCCCTTCCGTTCCCAACATGGCGGAGAGGGGGGGTCAGAGGCTCTGCTTTCTACATCATCCTGTGCTGTGCCTCAACTTTGTACATCACTGTGTTCTGTGCCTTGACTTTAAAAAAAAAAGAAGTCAGTTTCAAAAAGCACCATGTTTAAAGGAAAAGCATGCTCCAAAATAAAGCTAAGCTAGGTTATTGGTCATTTTTAGTTATACATGTACCTCCTCTTCAGCTACAATGAATAATTTAGTGCTAAGTGGTTTCAAATGAAAGGAAGGTACAATTACCTATTTATTTGTCTTATCTATTTTCTGATGTTAATCAGGAGTCAAGAAATTGCCTTGTTACATGTTTTACCCATAGCTGTGTGATGCTTAGGGAAGGTGACATTTTTTTTACCCAAATAGAGATTATGATTCTTTAATTGGCTTCTAGAGTTAGTACAAAGAAACAAAGCCGGGCGGTGGTGGTTGCACGCCTTTAATCCCAGCACTTGGGAGGCAGAGGCAGGCAGATTTCTGAGTTCCATGCCAGCCTGGTCTACAGAGTGAGTTCCAGGACAGCCAGGGCTACACAGAGAAACCC